TTAAAAATAAAAATCTTAATATAATCTTAATTAAAATCTTAATTGAATCTTAATCAAATTCTAAATCAAATCCTAATTAAAATTTTAATTGAACCTTAACCAAATCCTAGGTCAAATTATAATAAAATCCTAATAAAATCCTAAATCCTATACAAATCCTAAATAAGTTCTAAATCAAATCCTAAGCAAATCCAAATCCTAAACCAACCCCTAATTAAATCCTAAATCTTAACCAAACTCTTAACAAATCCTATAGCAAAATAGAACCTCAACAATTAATAATCGAACTATTGATATAAACTCAAAATTTGCATATTTTTTAATAACTTAGTTAAAAAAAAAGCACAAGAAAGATGAAATCAATCACACTTATCAATTAAAAGAAATGAAAAATAATCCAATTAGATGTTGGGCGGCCTCCTACAACCTAAATGCTAAACTTTTAGTGCCAATATTTCCTTTCTTAAATAGTTGAATTGCTTTCAAATTTCAAGTAAATATTGGAAATGAAGTCTAATATTCATACAAAAAAAAATTCACTTCAATTCAATTAATAGATTATAGAAGATCTTAGAAATATTTACTAACCCTCAAATTCCAATTTTTTAGACCTTAACCTACAAAAGCCTTCACATACTTCAATCTAATTGTTTGATTGATTTCAAAATTTTTACACACATTCAAAATTTTCACACCAACACATTATCTAAAATTCACTCATACTTATATCACAAAACTCAAGAAACTGTCAAATTTGTAAACATATTTTTATTTCTCAAAATCTAAATCAATTGAGAACATTATTAATTTTGAAAATTCCACAAAAATTCAGTATTGATTTAATTGATATAAAAATAATGCCCAAAAATCTCTCTTTAAGTTTGTTTTTTGATTCCATTCTTTAATCTACCAAAAAACTTTTGAATCACCATAGGTGTGTGGTTTTGTACATTAAGTTTTGATTTTGATCCAAATTGACAACAGGTCCTCTCTAAGTATCAATTCTTGGCTTCTTGAGGCAAATTTTACTAAAATCTACTCTTAAATCCTTTCTACATATGTCTATATTATTTAATTTTCCAATCTACTTTATTTTGCCTTATTTATGGTCCTACAAAGTAAGTAGAAGCCTACTTTGCAAAAAGGCAGCATTAATACTCTTTGGTTTTATTATCTTTTTGACTATTATCTATATTTCTAAGATAATTTGCTATAATATTTTAAAATAAATTCTTCTATAATATAATATTTTCTTCTCTCTTTCATTGATTAGCCATGTTACATCATGACAATGTTTGATGAAATTTAGATTGAAAACAATCGTTTAAAAAACTTATGCAGTTGGAACTTTAAGGTTTGCTCATATAATGACTTGAAATAGCCCTTATGCATGTAATTGCAATTACCACCAACATTGAATATAGATGCATGTAAGGCCTTATGATGACTTATTAAAGCTTCTTCTTTGTCATTCTTTTTGCACTTTTTGGCTTTAATACTATCTTCTTATAAAAGAAGATTTCCTAGTTTGTTGAATGTGGAAGGATTCTTTCTACCTAAAATCATTTTGATTGAAAATGTCTTAGTTTGAAGGTCAACTATTCAAGAATCTATTAACTTATTTCTTTTTTGGTATGATTATTCTTATATTTGCAAGTTATATAATCAAATTATTGCTGACCATGTGATATTGCTCAATAGTATATTTATCTATCATTTTCATATTATAGCATCAGAATTTGAAAGATTGTTTATAATTTATGGAGCTAGATTAATATAAGTTTTTAAATTTAATTTAAATTATTTTAGAATTTTATATATTTATAATGTAAAAAAAGATAGAATCTTTTATTATAGATATAATAATACATACAATCTTATATTATTGGTATTTAAGTAAGAGACCTTATACATGTAGAGCTGAAGATGGTACTGATTTAGTTATGGAATTGACTACTATCTATCTCATTTAGATTGAGCTAAAGGATGATGCTTTGAAGACATAGACAATGGAAGAATTAACTATGCTCTACAAACTTCTTATCTTAAAGTAGTGTTCTAAGCTTACATGACCAAATAACATAATTTGTGATTCCTTGTAGTTAGACCTCGTAGGAATATCTCTACATATTGTAATCGACTCTATAATGACGATTAAAAATTATGTAGAAGAAAGAAAAATTAAATTTTTTGAAAAGGAGTAAAGCACGAGGGTCTAAAATTACTTTGCTACCATATTGCAAGTCAATAATAGCTAATTATTAATTAAAAGAGGAAATAAAATATATTAAATTGAATTAAAAAATAAGATATAAGAAAAATATATTTTATATATAATTAATATCTAAATATAATTATTATAATCTATTTAGCTAATTAGTGACTTTCTATTAGTAATAGATGAATGTGAATGATTTTTGTCAGTAGAATAAGAATATCAACAATCAAGTCCATACAACTTTTAGAGTATTTTAACTTTGTCACTATATATTATAGAAACCTCTCTATTCAATTGATTGACTCAAAGAAATAGTAGGAGAATTGGTTTAAGTCTAGTTCTAGATGGAATATAGCATAACCATATTGTAATGTATAAAAATTACTAATTTAAAATTATATTTTATAAAAAAAAATTATAAATAAATATAAATATTTTAAAAAATAGAAAATAAAATATATTTTATATAATTTTTATATATAATTTTTTCAAATATTTATGATTAAAATAAATTATATATAATTTTTTATTATGATATTACATTAAATTATTGCACATCCCCTTATGACTCGCAACAAGGAGATTGTCAAACCTAGTAGGGAGTTTATAAAAGGATGCAATGTTGACCAAGATATAAATTTGTTCTTCAATGATTTAGATTTTCATTAAGAATGTGGATACAAAATTTGGTACTTTACAGTGCTATCATATTATAATTTTTTATAGTATATGAAAATTAACTAAAATAGATAATATATTTATAAATATTGATGTACTTTAAAATGGTTAGTAGGTTAATTTAAAGAGAGTTGATGTAAGAAAAATTATTTTGAGATTTTATCTATGTTGATTAAAATGTTTAAAATATGTATGATGGAAATATTTAGTATAAAATTCAAGAAGAAGATTAGGCCTCAAAGATGAAGATTCAAACCTCTAAGAAGCTTATTTGGAAGGATGAAAGCAAGGTATGGATGGATGAAGGCTAAAAGTAAAGATCTTTATCTCTATTGGTCAAAGGCCATGCCCAATAGGCATTCAACAAGTTATCTACAACCATAACAAAGGTTTTGGTGACTTTAGAAGCAGCATTCGAGAATCAAAAGCAAGGGTTGTAAGGTTTAGAATTCGGACTACAATTTGTGACTAAAGTTTAGAGGATTTGGAGTTAAAGTGATGAAGTTATAGTCATTTTAAATTAAGGTATCTTTTTAAGTCATAATAGGAATTTTATGATAGATCTTGGAGATTGAGAGAAGCGACTACAAGGGTGATTTCAAGATCTAGATTTCTTCTGAAAGAATTTTTGCATTTAGAGTTTTTATAAAGAAGTTATAGAGCATTGAAGACAATATATGTAATTCAAAGGCACTAAGTGAGTCATTTTGTTAATACTAATGGTTGGAGCCTTATCTTGAGTTTCTAGATGAATTTTTTGTTTAAAATTTTTAAAAATATGTACTATTAGGTTAAAAAGCTATATGTTAAAATTTTATGGTTTTTGAATACTTATTTTGTGAGATATGAAGAAATTTATATAAGGATGTATGTAAGCAAGGAATTGAAGCTATTGTTAGGATTTTGGCAATATCTTGAGATTTGTAACGAATTTGCAGTTAAAATTTGTTGTGATAGTTGTTAAAAGTACATAAGTACTTCATGTAAAATTTGGATTTGTTTTGAATGTCCGATCATGAGATATAAGCTGTTTAAGTTCAAGAAAAATTCACATTAAGGATATACAAGGTTTTATAATATTTTTAACACATTTTTGGTAATCTTTGGTACTTAGGGCTTGCATATTCATGTAATTGTTCATATAGAGACAATTTTATACATAAGCTTGGTGTTTTTTTTTTTTTTTTTTTTTTTTTTTTTTTATCTTGAGTCTTGGTTGAGCAATTAGTCACAGCCAAAAGTCCAACACTTTCTTAAGGCAAATTCTCTCTACCCCAACATAGCTTTATTTAAAGATTTGATTTTATTTGATTTGATGATATTTCATATTTGGTATTTATCATTGTATATAATAAAGACTTATTTTAGTGGTTGTTTTTACAACCACACTATTATGATTATTGCATATTTTTAATTGATTAATTACTTAGATACATGATACTTGTAGAAAACATTTATGATTTGTAAAATAATTTTTAAAAAAATAAATCTATAAAATATTTATACCAAAATAATATTTTAAAGAGAAATTTTGTAATCTTTTTAATAGAGTATGTCTAAATTAAATATTTATTACAAAAAAGAAATAAACTAAATATAGCCAATATATATTTCATTTCTTGTACAAAGTAAATACAAAGAAAATCAATGATGAATCCTTGTTTATAAAATATCTTTGTTTGAGAAAACAATAATGAATATAAAATTTTAAATTGCAAAAATTCTTCTTGGAGGCAAAAGTATGACAACAAAAAAAAAAAAAAAAAAAAAAAAAAAAAAAATGTTTGAAGCAAGAGTGATGGTTGCAAATTGGGATTGAGATGCATCCCCTGAACAACATTCAACACCCATGTGAATATGGACCAGTTCGGGCCCAATGATGAATGGGTTCTGAGTTCCCAACCTCCAACCTGCCCGCCCTCCAACCTGCCTCATCCTCCCATGACCCTATCTTCCTTTTTTTGTGTTTTGTTTCTGTTGAGATCATTAAATATAGCGGGTGCCCTCTATAATATTTACTGTAGAATACAGTAAATTCCATAGCTACAGTATTTAGAGTCTAGTGGAGAAGTGGAGAAGTACTGTTTATCCTCTCCCCTTTTTCTCTTCTTGTATACTAGACACAACCAAATCAATAGATTTTTGTGTGTGAAGCTCTCTCTCCTTAGAAACCCTCTTGTGTGTATGACTTACTATTCCTCTTGTGTCTTTCTAAACATTCTCAACAGTTTCACAACTAGTATCTGGCACTCTGAAAGCTTAGGGCTACCGTCGCACCCACGACAAGTCTTTCGGAGCTCCCGGCCATCTATATATGTTTGTTTCTTCCACTCGCTCAAATCCTTTATTCCTAGATTCACGTGTTGGTCGGTAAGACCAGTAATGCTTGTTCGATGAAAGGAATGTGTTATCCTCGGAATGAGTTGCAGATACAGGCTACGTTTTTTTTTTCGAAAAGTGAGGTGTTTGAATGTTGTTAGTGCTTCAATTGCAACTCTAACGCTTCTATTCTTCACGTGCTTTGTAGAGGCTAGCTTGTGCACTCAACCAGTCTCGATCCACAATGGTGGTGCTGGCTAGCGTGCTGGTATTAGTCCTTGCTCTTATCGCAGCAGCATTTTACTCATACGTTGATCGAAAATCCCCCATCGACGCGGTGCCTATCATTCTTGCCCCGTTTCCCAAGGCAGAAGGTGTTTACGCGCCGAACACTCTCCTACAGAGTGTTGAAAAGCTTGGCACCGGAAAATTGCTGCAGCCTGAGGATATAATCGTAGACCCTAGTGGCAAGTTTCTCTACGTAAGCACTTCTGATGGTTGGATTAAGAAACTCTACCTGGCAGACGGCTCTGTCGAGGATTGGAAGCATGTAGGAGGGCGACCTCTAGGGCTTGCTGTTGGAAACGATGGCGAGGTTTTAGTCTGTGAGCCCTCTACTGGCTTACTGAAGGTGAGTCCCTGAACTAGTTCATTAGACTAGCCTTTTTACATAGCAAACTGCTCAGAATTTGCATCGCCTTCGGTCGCTCTATAGCTTTTACTTAAAGATTTTCAAGCAGCATCGGAATGGGGTCATGATAGGATCATGCTACAATCCTTGGTGCTCATACTATTCTGGAGCTTGGATATTGCAGGTCACCGATGAAGGTGTTGAGGTTCTGGTAACTGAAGTGGAAGGGACGAAGCTGAACTTCGTTGATGCAGTAGCGGTGGCCAAAGACGGACTCATCTACTTCACAGATGCTTCGACCAAATACCCCTTGGACGACTTCGTACTGGATAATCTCGAGAGCAGGCCACATGGACGCCTGCTTGTTTACAATCCCGAAGACAAAACCTCCCGCATATTGCGAAAAGATTTGTACATGGCCAACGGTATCACCCTTTCCAAGGACGACGAGTATTTGGTTTTCGCAGAGACTGTGGCGGCTAGGATATCCAAGTACTACCTCAAAGGCAACAAGAAGGGCAGCATCGAGATCATCAATGAGAATCTTCCAGGATTCCCTGACAACGTCCACTATGACTCCGAGAGGGAGCTTTTGTACATCGGCATTGTCGGCCAGCGAGATGCTGCTCTAGATGTTTTCCTCAAGACTCCTTGGCTGAAGAAGTTTGTGGCGTTGTACGAGAGTGTTCGTGGTGCAGTAGACAACTCTAACAAGATGGGCAGAGTGTTGGTCATCGACAACAATGGAACACCTGTGAAGTCGTATCAGGATCCCACCGGAAAGGTTGTAGGCTTCACGACGGGTGGAGTTGAGGTGGATGGTTATGTGTACGTCGGTGGATTGAGAGATGATTACGTGGGTCGCGTCAAACTATAGCCCATCGTTTGCCTTGACTCTTGATTTCAGGATTAAGAGTCTTCCATCTGTGCCCATTATGCGCTTCGGAGATAAAATTGTTCAGGTAATAATCAAATATAACTTTTAATTAGGTTCTACCAGCATGTTTGTGAAGGGTTGAATTGCAAAGCTAGTTTAGATTCGACATCTACCAGAAATTCTACAGCGTTACAGAAACTCATGAATAGGACAAGTGAGAAAGTTATGTTTATAAAGTATACTGGTGGTGGTCATCATATACCTCTCACACGAAACGAATGGTTTCACTAACAATGATTGTATAGTACCATGAAGTGTTTAAAGCTGTAGTCCACGTTACAATGTATCCACGAACAACCTGCTATAGGTTACAGTTTCATGGATCTGTTTATCATCCTTTCTACATGTCGGGAGCAGTGTAACGCACAAACCAGGATTGTCAGATCGAAATCTATCGACTGGGATATTCCTCTTTTTCACTGAATTTGGCCTACAATAATGATGAATACCTGCAGAACTTGAACGCCATGCACAGCCATGAACGGTATGGCTGTACGTGACGTGATTCAGATTGGACAGGAGTGGGTGTTCACCTAACAGATTGTTACTTTGGAATCTCATCATGATTGAGGAAGCTCCACTTTTCTTTGTTAAAGCTCAGTTTTTTCCACTTCCCAACAGCTGGGTAGGCTGGCCGGAATGAAATTTTCCAGCTTGGGATCATCTCCATCCTAGATTTCAGCACAAGATGAGACCAAATTCTGGTCCTGCGATCGACTTGATCGATGATAAGTATCGACATGAGATGGGCAAGAACGGGAAGTGTTTCAGACGCAGTTGCATCGCATGACGCATCTTACAGATATTATCCGAACGTTTTACAAGGAAACGAGATAGTAATACAAGGAACAAATCATCGAGCTCATCTTTCTAAATGAACATCAAATTACCTGATTTCGTGCCTCTGAATTTCCCAACACGCACGCAATGTTGAGCACGATAATACGAAGAGGAAGGTTTCAAGACGGGAGTTGCACCATGAACATGATGTTTCAGCATTCCGTATACGCGCCTCGATCGGATCATAGATCACCGCTCTGGAGGTTTAAACTTGCAAGCCAATTAAGGTCTATAAATTAATAGAAAACTGCCGCAGCGAGTCCATCGCTGACATGAACCAAAATATTTATTCCAGTCGATTAAGACAAAAGAGTTCTACACTTAGCTTTGGTTAGCCGAGTCTTACTCGTGTTGTGGAGAAATGCCTGCAAACTGAATATGCGAGTAACACAGCAAGCAAGTTTGTGCAGTTCCTTTCCCAAGCAAGGAAAGAAATCTTATTACTCTGTCTGATTAATTGCAGCTGAACCAAAAGTGTGTTGCACTCGTTTTTGGGCCTCATCACACATCCGCCGATGCTCCACCAAGCCACTGTATATCAAGGCTATGTAACAGTTTGTTATGGTTTAATGGTTCACTCGAATCTTTGAGTCTCCCTAGTCCTCGACAGTCGTAAACTTACGAAAAGTGTGGATTTGAACTTATTCCATACTTCTTTAGAAATTTTAAGAGATTTTACCAAACTGATTTGTTTATCACCACAATGTAAAAGAATATTTGCTCTTGCTTCAGCACCTTAAAATAATTGTTCTAAATCTACCAAACATGGGCAAAAAATTGGTCCAATTTAAATTTTTTGTTGATAGTCTTGATTAATAAGTCAAAGGACTATTGATAGTCTTGAAAATTTTGTCTAATTATTTGTCTTTTGACTTTGATATTTCTTACATGCTCTACAACTACTCTTCAAAAATAAATTATTTTAGAGATGGTTGAACCTTGTGATATGTTTTCAATATGATTTATGTATTTTTTATTTGGTGTATTTTTAATGTGTCTTTATACCAAGTAGCATGCTTTTAAAGATCATGATACAAAAGCTTTCTAAAAGATTCCCTCATGAAATAAAATATATTCTTTTAAATCTTTGTTCTTTGAGTGTAGTATAAATTGAAAAGAAGCCATGACCTAATTCATCAAATCATATTCCAAGTTCAATGTATCACTTCACATCTCTTGATATTAATAATTATGAAAAATATATAAAATTGGAGTTTTTTGTAATAGACACCTTACAAGAATCAATCTTTGTAATAGACACCTTACAAGAATTATAAAAATCAAATTGGATTTTTTTTCAATGATTGTTTTAAACAACCCACACTATAGTTTCTTAAATTTTAGATACAGCCACACCTTTGAATTGACATAAAAAATGTTTATGTTTCTATATTATACCCAATCAAAAGATTTAAAAATTGTGACCTCTCACTTTCACCCCTAAATATTAAAACCTTATCTTCTAAATATTAAAACCTCTTAAGTTTATTTTCTATTATTATTTTGTTCCTTTTGGACATTGATCATTTTTTTTGATGATGATCCACTGCAACTTGGTCATTTAATGCTCCACTGCTGCTTAGGCTGCTTCTACTTTTTGGAAATGGAGACAAGTAAACAAGATTACACGTTTTAGGGGTCACGACATCCAGACTGACTAAAGTTCTACACGTGCTCAAAAAAAGAGAAGTGTGAGCCATGATCCCAGAATAGTAATGTTGAGATCATACTGCAGTTTGCAACCGTCTCTACCTTCCAAATTAGATCACATCACACGCAGTAATAAAGGTACGTCGGTTGTTTTAGTTCTGAACTTATCTTTCACCATTTTTATTCTCTCCGTACAAATCAACGTCAAATACCTCTCATCGTAAGCCCAGCTGGTGATGGAATTTAGGTAAGCAACCAATTAATAGGGTTATAATAACCACTTTTGAGCAAGTGCAAGTTCAGAGTGATCAATTACAATAAAGACTTCAACTGGCTTGTCTACAGATACATTACAACAGCTTCAATGTTAGTTATCCGCACCATACAGCTAAAATCCTTTTCCTGAACAGTAAATCTAAAAGCAAAGAGAAACAATCGCCTCTTCAATAGCCACTACCGTTGATAGCATATGTGATTCATCTCCTACATTTCCCAGTTGATTAACCTGCATAGAGTCTTAACGAAGTATCGAACTGCATAGATGGTGTTAAAGGCCGGCATGAAGTATATTTTAACAATGGGCTATACAGGGTTAGATTGACTCAACCTCTATGAAATATTCAAAGAAGAAGAGCAAGAACTGGTTGGAATTATTTGTGCCTTCAATCCACAACTCAGGCTCTTGAAAAGAGCAAGATGACTTGAAGCATGGGCTGCAAATATTTTTTGCCTGCCAAGCAAAGCAGGCAACAGAACAAATCGCAAAAAAATGAAAGATTCTAGAGCAGGGACTGTGATGAATCAGTAAGACAAAGGGCTGCCCTGTAAAGATGGAAGTTCTTGTGCAGCTTTTCTTCTCCATCCAGTTGCTAAAAACCACCACTCTCGTAGCAGAGAAATGGAAGGCAACTACAACTCCCGTAGCAGAGAAATGGAATTTCTAACTATCAAACCAATCATCCACACTGTCAGCACTTAGAATGCCAACGTCGCTCACAATCCCAATTACGAAATATGAAACATGGTAGCTTCCTCACACAACTTAGAACATTGATCCCATCGTGATAACTGATAGCTTATAATGCTTAGCTTCTGTTTCTATTGTAGATTGGAAAGTATTTATGACCTACCACTTTTCTAAACGAGAATAAGCATATATAACCTTGCAAGTTTAATGCATATTTCTGCTGACTTAGTTATGGAATCTACCTCTATCGCCATCGTACTTAAGATTATAACTAACCAAAAGCGGCGTGATGGATTCTATCACCTGTTTAACTAGCACGCAGTGATGACCTACACTGGTGACAATCGATGATCAGCACAACCTGCTCAGTCGCAATTGTCTTCGCGAACAAAAATATAAATAAAAATGAACGGAAACAATTTTCCCTAGCATACAAATCCAGCCATCAGATTCAAAAGACATCTCTCTAGCAAAGACCACGCCTTAGCACTTTCAAATTCGGAACAAAAAGTAAGTTCGTCTACACACAAGACCCACTATATTGAAGCTCAAAAAAATTTAGCGGAACTGTTTAATATGACAGGAAAACAATCGCAGAGTTCCTACCCTCAAGCCACCTAGGCCAAGTAAGCCGCCCATCAGTACGCTGAGTATGAAGCCATTGCACCAAGATTTTTTGCAAGGTCCCCGAAACTTAAACTCGTTCAGCATAGACCCAGCCATATAATTTAGGAGCTTTTACCAACACTCACCGCGTTAATGAACTTTCTGGAAAGATAGCAGAACAGGAGTCAATAGCTAACCTCCATAGCTTGACATATTCAGAACATAATAGCCTCAAATACGTGCATTTTAGGGACATGCTATTTTAAATACCGCCAGAAAATATTGCTAATATTCACAACACACTTGCAAGTTGCATTGCAAGTTTCTCTTCTCCTCCCGCTGCGCTTTGAAGACAGCTCAAAAAGAAAGACAAGTACGAAAAATTGTAGCCCCTGGTTCTAAAAGCCCGAGGCGTTCATAATCACTTAAATGCAAGTCTCACACGCTACGGATAAAGAGATCATAATTCCCCGAAAAGATCGATAATCAATCAACCAGTCATAATTGTACCAGGGATCTCATACCTAGAGCACATATTCTAAATCGGTTGGTAAGGCTCAGACGTACCACACCATAAGCAGCAGCTGAGAAATGTATAATTCTGTAAGCAAACAAGCGCACTCCATCACTTAGGCGTAGCAGAGGCGTAGACATCTGGCATACTGAAGTTATTCTCGACCCCAGAACCTGAAATCAAACTAACTTCATTTGCCGCACGATTTTACAAGAAATGAAAATGAAAAGTGAAAAATATATATTCGACTGAACAGAGAACAATAAACCATAAACAAGCACTGACATTAGTCTTGCGATTTCAAGACTTGAGGACGACGATTCTCAAATTGATTAACAATTATGGGTTCGAAATTACTGAGAAAAAAATCCAACACTCATAGCAAACAACTCGCATACTTGTTGTCAATTGAAATCCTTGGAAATTTAGGAAGTAACATGATGGACAATGACTTTCGGTTTAGGGGGTGCGGCAACAATCTTGTACTTTCTCGTGTAGACCGAAAAATTTCTAGGGACTTTGAGGCTGCATGACTTACGGCAGCACAGACAGTCAATGTGCAAAGTATCAATCAACGACACTGTAGTTCTCGCTCTCCATACCTTAGAACGGAACTTCCAAGCTGGAAAGATTCACTGCCGAGGGAACGAACACATTCTCCAAAGACGTTCTCCGCGCACAGTATGGTCTCCGTAATTGAATCATCAATGCGCTTAACGTGTGCTCCAAGCGATGAGAATTCATGACCAGCGCCATAGCCCCAAATTTGGCGAGCTGGATGCTGGTTTACGGTGTCCACAGCCTTGCCCTATTGAGCTTCCAAGCTCCAACACATCGAACTTGCACATACAAAATTAACACTCTGCACCGAATTCAAGCCCAATTATAACTCTCAGACACACACTTCACAGACATAACTCCATCCTCTGTACTCGACCCTTTCTTCACCCCTTGCAACTGAAGAATTAACAGCCACTACACACGCAGAAACTCAACCCTGAGAGAGTCGAATCCTTCAAATCCGCCCAAACTTGACGCTCGTCTCCTTCTCCTATTCGATCACCAGTGCACCTCAAATCTGAAAGTCAATCAAGTAAGAATCTAAGCTGAAGCAAATAACTCCAATAAGGAAAAAAAAAACCTTTTCGCTGCGTCCAAATTGGCTCATATCAAAGCTGCTCCACGGCGGCAGCATAGCGAGTAGACAGAGCTCTCATTCTCTCATACAAATTGGCAGCAACGGACAATTTAGACGAGAACCACGACGAGAAGTCACCCTTTGTACATGACCCTCAAACTGGCAGGGTAGTTGCGGGGCTAGGACTGTAAGTTGGCGACCATCGGATGGAGAAGGAGGTACGTTAGGGGCTTATGCGACCGAAGGACGGTGTTTCATTTCTCGATTCATTCAAGAGCCGGGCGAGTGACCAAGAAGGCGATGTAGTTAGATTATGGTTTGCGTGTTTTCGTCTCGCTGCGCCATAGCTGGAGCTGCAACTGTTTGGCTATGGCGACCGCGAGCCAGCAAGTAGTGTACGCCATGGCGACTCCGCCGCACGGGGTTGTGCAATATGAATATTACACGCACCAGGTGCCGCAGACGACGACGACATATACTACTCCTGGGCAGTATTCGGGCTCTGGTCCTCCTCCTCCTGGCGCGAGTGCGATGGATCACTGTGCCGATAGTGCTGCAAAGCGGTCGTCCGACGAAGGTACACGATTCTAATCCACTCTGCGACGTAATTCTGCGATCTTAGTTTCTATTCTACAGTGTGTCTTCGATACGTCTGAGTTTTGAGTGTTCATGCTTTTGAATTGATGAATCGGCCCGTGAGAAATGCAACGCTGTCATCTGTACGATTTCTGTGGATAATCTCACCACGAAGACGATGCATCGATTCTTTCGGTGGAGTTAACAAGGGATTGTCTAAAAAAAAATTGCGAGTAATTGAAAGAATCTGTGCATTGTTTTGGGTATGATTTATTACTGATTGTCTTTTCGTCTATTGTACCTGGTGTTCCCTCCTTATGTCTGGCCAAGAGTATAACTAACTTTCAGTTGGGAGTCGTTTTTGTTAAAATTCCGAAACAATGCTGAAAGATTTACTGAGTAAGTTGCTCGTGCTTCTTGAAAAATAGTGTTTGGTTTCGCGTGGTGGTTTGATCCTTTCAGGTCGTCTTAGTGTGCCAGTTTGAGTATTTCTTCTTCGTTTGAGGGATATTTTTAACTTTTTGTTGGACAATCGTTGCTGCCCTGATGTGCTACTGTACGCTACTACTAAGAGCATTAATAGAATTCTGCTACCTTATATGATTATAGATCAGTGTTAATTGATACAGCTTCTCCGAGTGTAGATATCATATGACGTAACATTGTTTTTCCGCGAGGCCCTTCTAGATGATATTACAAATACGTTTGTAATGTAAAACTGTGAATTCTTTTATATAGAACGCTATTCATTTACTTCAACCAAATTATTTGTCTGAATTTACAATAAAGATACAATATGAATATCTGGTTTTTTTTCCGGTGAAATTTATATAATTCATGGTTATAGTAGCCAGAAGACGTGCAGATACTCTATCCTGTCCATGAATATCCTGTGCAGGGAATGAGCATAAATTATGTACTTACATCTATTTAAACTTTTTTGTTTTCTATTCAAACCCTTGCTTTCTTTCTTTGAGATTTTAGAGGTATTACAAGATCGAGCATTTTCTTTGCGAATGAGTGTGTCCTCTCCTTACTGAGCCTTTTAGATTTTACCTACCCAAAATTGAGTGACTGTACGTTACTCAAGTCTCTATTGGTGATCATTGATACATCAAACTGTGAACTAACCTTCTGCAAAGTCTCTATTTGACACTTGATTAGAACTACCTATGTAATTTTACCACAGTCCTTTAACTTCATTAATTATGCATACAACTTATTCACCAAAACAACTCTAGTACTTTTAAGGCTTAGAGAGATATGTGAGGGATCAAATGACTAGCGGTGTTGAACCTTGTGTATAACATCTCCCAGATGCCGTAAGACTTGTGCCGCCGAAAAGAATCTATGCGCAATGATAGTGGTGCAAAAGTGAGGATGTCTAGTTTGTTGCTGAATCAATCATCCAGAAATTTTCTTGAGTTTCTTTGAAAATTATCTTGGAACAATATCAAGATATTTCCTATTCTACGATTTGAAAAGTGTTTGCTAAGAATCCAAGCGTCCTGATGCATTAAGAGTCTTTAAAATTAGGTTTTCAATTTGTGTTTACCATTGATTCTTTAAGAGTGCTACGAATTTACCAACGAAGCATAGAGCTAGCTGTATCGCAATCGTTGTGGGAAGATGTTTAGTGACTTGATTGCATGACTGGTATGTTCGATTCTGTGACACGTAACGCCAACTCCTGTTACACCATGAAAATCTGTGGGTCCTTTGTGCTTGGTTGTCCTTAGTTCTTTTGCAGAAGGGCGACCCCGTACCACTTTTTAAACTTGCACCAGTCCGCAATTCTATGTTGCTTATAGCAGTTAGGTGTCCTATTACCAAAAGGGCATATTTGAAGAGCTGGAAATGAAAAAGTTGTCAGGCTAGAGCGGAGTTGCTTTGAACGACTAAACCCTTCAATAGTTAGGATAAAATTGGCTACATGTTACCCCTCAACAGCCAGGTTACATATTGGATAGATTTTATGTGTTTGTTCTTGAATTTGAGGTGGTGCACCTTGCTGAGGATCTTGAGGTTGTGACCATTGAGGTGGGGATTGTGGTAACTAGACACTATGCATGTTATTTTGGGAACTGTTTTACAGAAGTTTAACTTGGTGATATGTCCTTGTTTCCGTTTTGTACTGAATGCGAGCTGGTACATCCCTTTTTATTTACAGAACCATCATGTTTTGTATCTGGATTTCTTATGTCTTTTTTCTAAGGTCTAACTCGTTTTGTTTACAACCCTGAGCATGCTGGTCTGTGCTTTTTCACTAGATGCTTGTTCGGGACAAAGTCTGACCTTGGGTGTTGTTGTGCTTGCAAATGTAACTATACTGGATGGCTACTACGTATATATTTACGCTACTATCGTCCTACCGTCGGTGTTCTGCACTACCTACTACAATCTGTATGATGTAACCTTCACCTTATTCCTTCTCGTTGTATCTTCTTGTCGCCATCCATTTACTCTTTATCCTTTTTTGGATTGATTGCCTACTACAATCTCAAAATATCACATGGATTATATTTTTTAGTTACTGCTGATACGATCGGACCTAATAAGAAGCCCCGGTCGGACAGTGCGGGTTGTTCAGGAGAAAATGGTCTGTACCCACAGAGACCTGGGGAGAAAGTGTGTGCTTATTACATGATCACGCGCACATGCAGTTTTGGTGTCACATGCCGGTATGATCATCCAGCGTGGGTGCCTGCCGGTGGCATTCCCAGCTGGAAGGAGGTGGTGTACTTGTCCTTAGTGAAAATTTATGCTTGTAGATTTTCTACCCTATTGAATGATTGTGTATTCCTGTCTCGAGTTGCTATGCATTATCCACGAATAAATTGCAGCTTTGAGTATCACCAAAATTTCCATCTCCATGTAGGCAATTATACAAGGAAAACTTGTGTATGTGCCATTACATTCCCACCCTGTCGTTACGCACTAGTAGTACTGATTGTTTCTTGGATTCCGTTTTATCGGACTAAAGCGGATGATTTGGCAATTGAAGAACCACCAAGTACTTCTCTCTGCATTTGGTGTGTGCCTTGTGCTTATAAGATTGTGAACCTAATCAGAAGGAATTGGTACGGGTGACCAGGTAACAGCTGTTGGAACACCTGTAGATCCAAGTTCTCTACCTCAAAGACCTACAGAGCCAGATTGTGCGGTGAGCCTAAAGCACAATTTTTACATTTATGAGTTGTTACTCTTTGCATTCTCTAAATGATGTTTATCGTAAAACGCGCTGCGGAGGTATTACCTGAAATATTTTATCATTTCAAAACCGCTGAATGCTCTTTTTACGCTTTCAAACTGTATCCCGCGAAGATGATCTTTCTTGTCACTTTCAACCTAGCATCGTGTAGTGGTTTATTATATGGTGACAACTCATTTGAGTAATTTTTCTGGGGATTTTCTTCAAGGCGGCACAGTTGACCCTGGATGGCTTCTTTAGATTGGACAGACGACAAATCATTATGAAACTTTCACATCACTATTTGCCCTCTGCCCAAACTGAAGCTCTCATTATGGTTTGGTGTGAAAATTTCAGAATGGTTTGTTATATCTACGTCTTTTAGATTTGATTAGAATGTGCAACTTGTACTTGTGCAGTATTTTATGAAAACAGGGGAGTGCAGGTATGGGTCCAAGTGTAGATTCAACCATCCAAAAGAGAAGCTTGAATCAAGCAACACCGATGAACAATCCTCTGTTGTGAATCAAGCTGCTCCTATTAATCCAGCAACCACATTTAATTCCAAAGGATTACCCTTGAGACCTGTGAGTGACTGCCATCGCGTCCTTGATACATGTCCTATTCCTATTTCTGTTAATTACAGAAATTTAAACATCTAAAGCTTCGGCATAAGTCAGAATACATTCCTCATAGGAAAGAATTAGAACACATTTAGTTTCGGGTTCAGGTCGGTGAAAGTCGCACAGTTTTCAAGAGTTCATTTTAAACATTGCCGTTCTGGTATCATTTTAATGTACCAAATTGATTACTACAAGAGCCTCATAGATGAATCAAACTTTTTTGGTTGGTTTTGGCGTTTCACTTAGCATATTGGCTTAGGGTTTATGATTTTATAACTTTTCTTTACTAGATCGAAGTAACCATCATGGTAACTAAGTTCTGAGTAAGTACGCTCACCTTTAGTAAGTTTTTTATTTACAGAGCTCATCATCGAAGTTTTGAATCACAGCTAGCAAGCTAGATTACGGAAAATTTAAAACGCCCAAGCTTGTGCTCGTAATGTGCAGGGAGAGGGCAATTGTGTTTTCTATGGCAAAACAGGGAGGTGCGTAGATCATGCTAAATTCTTGTATCTGAGACATTCCATTGTGGTTAACTATCCCAATATTTTCAGCGTTTTGTCCAGTTGTGTCAAAACTTATGAAGCGAATCGCTCTAACATGAAAGGAGTGGCTATGGGGGTGAACCAGTTGTAAGTATGGTACCGCGTGCCGTTATAATCATCCAGAAATTTTACTGCCCGGTAAAACTTGCTCTCCTGAAATCTCTTCTCTTAGCAGCCCACTTGTAATGTAAATTGTTCAAAAATGTCCAGGAGTCAAAAGCGCAGTCGCCTCCTAGGTTTTAGCACTTCAGGTTGAATTTCCACTGCGATTGCATTAGCACTTGCAAGTAGCTAAAAACCACTAATTAAATCATAGAAAATCTCTACTTTAGACCAGCTCTAACACCTGTTTGTTGTTATATAATGAAAGGTCTAACGATTTTATCCCCGTTACAATACATCATTGAATTCATAAGTTGAAGAATTACATATTTTCATTCTTTTTTGTTGTCCTCTTGTCTACTTACTGTGTCACTGTATTCATTACGGTTTTAACTCTCTCTTTGCCCTTTGTATGTTAACCTCAGCATACAGAATCTGAATTCGTGTAAGTTCTAATTGCGCTTCTGTCGCATCCGCAAGTCCGAGTAGTAGTAATTACATGGGTGCCACTACCTTGATTGGTTTGGTTCATATCCATTCTATGCAAGTCCTAATGGAATGTCGCGGAGAGGTATGAGGGCCGCAAGGAGCTGCACAATGATATAGACTGCAGTTTCTCCTTTTAGCATGTCTACTAAAAGCAACTAATGACTTCTCTTGTGGACTAAGTGTACAAACTCGTAAAGTTCACATTTGAACCTTGAAAATCCTTTTGCTTTCTTTGATTGTTTCCAATCAAATCTCATACAAAGTAGGAATTGACGTTTGATGTTTACACTGATTGTTGGTCGTAGCAGGAGGCAGGACTGGGCAAACTCTTCAGCCACAACAAGCTGTTTATGTACAAACTCCACAGCAGCCTAGTGTGCAGTATCAACTGGTTCAGGTAATTGTGTCTGAACATCAACCAAAGAAAATCGCAGATGTCGGTATCACTGGTAACTGATTATTGGAATGTAGTTTTAGATATTAGTGGTTCGTTTATGTTGGGATAACTCGTAATCTTTGTGGATAGACTTGCCAACAGAATGCGATTTTGATATTAGAACTCCAATAACTAGGGATTTTATCTTTCGTATACTGAGAACGCAGTAACGTTGATAACTCTCATGTTTGTTTCTGATGGAGGAATAGCAACTAATGCAGGCGTCACATGATTATGCATATCCTGCAACTACATATCAAAGTACAACACCCTCATACACTACAGCTCCGAATGCGTATCCTGTGACTACTACGTACTCCTCCACAGCTCCAGCGTATGCTTCCCCAGCAACTACATATCCGGGTCAACAAGTTATAACGGAATATGTCTATCCTGGAGGAGCAACAATGCAAGTATACCCTTCAGGAGCAACTACACAATGCTACCCCCCTGGAACACCCACTCAGACCTACTCCCAAGCTCAAACCTATCCCCAAGGGACTATCGTGCAACAATATCCCCAGGGGACTACTACCCAAGTCTTATCTCAGGTCCAATCCTATCCACCAGGAACAACCTGTCAAACTTATCCTCCAGGAACAACTACCCAAGCTCAGCCACAAACCTATCCTCCAGGCACCACTGGTGCATCAACGTACCCTCCAGGAACTCCTCAGTCTTGTCCTGGAACTCAAACTTTTCCTCCAGGTACACCTAACCAAAGCCAAGGTCAAACTGCCCAAATTTATCCTCCAGGAACAACTGCTCAGGGTGTTGAGTATGCGTACTCAGGTGGGCAACAGCCTCAAAGTCAACTAGAATATGTCTACGCCACTCAGCAGGCCTCTCAAAACGGGACAGATTACGTTTACTCTACAGAACAGCCAGCACAATCAGCATCAGATCAGTACACCACCACTGCTTATGCCACAGATGTCTCTGGACAAGCTACTACAGCAGATTATGCTTATACATCTACCCAAAATTCTCAAGAATACGCGTATGCTGCTGCACAAGCTTATCATCAAAATGTAACTCCAATGTATGTGGCGTCGATGGGCTTACCACATCCACAACGACCTGGCGAACCAGATTGTACTGTATGTTCCTCACATAAATCTTTCTTGTTGACTTTTCGTTTCTTTGTTATGTGCATCGCATATTATTCAGTATTTTAGTTGGCAACAACGCATGCAATTTGTCATAACAAATATTCTGACAAGTAATTTCCTTGTGCTACAACATAGTTCTACATTAAGACTGGAGAGTGCAGTTTTGGAGCTACCTGCAAATTTCATCACCCACCTGACCGTATTCCCTCGGGAATTCCCAAACCAGCCAAGAATCAAGCGACAGTGAAGCTTAGTCTTGCGGGTCTACCCAGAAGAGAGGTAAGCAGGTCTGATATTTTAAAATAGTTTTAAGCTTAAAATGTTCTTGCAATTTTTTTTTTTTCTCATTTGCATTAGCTTCAATTGGTTGCTCAGGGAGACCTGTGTAACTGTGAGTTTGAAATTCAGCTGCTAATTTTTTTGCCCGTTTCAATTACGTTCACCAACTGAAGCATGTTTAACATCATACGAAATGCCTCAATTTTTTTTTTACCATGTTTGAATTGTATTCGATGTGGAGAGTATTGTCTTCATTGGTAGTCTCTACGGAGATTTGACGAACGTGTCGTTGTTTTGATAGACTGAGACGCCTTGCGCTTATTACATGAAGACAGGGGCATGCAAGTTCGGGCAGACATGCAAGTATGACCACCCACCTCCACAAGAGATTATTGCTAGGGCCGTTGAACAAGCTAGAGGAGAGGTTCCTAGTTCTTACGATGTGAATATGCCAACAAGTGTTGCATCCGACAGCCAGGATGTCACCCCATTACCCCCAGGTACTGATGTGCCTGCTGTCACAGCGGCAGCAATGTAAATCTAGACTTGCAGCAATAATCCAAACCCAGGAGGGAAAAGGGAAAAAAAAAAAGGGGGACCGGAGGTTCCAGAGCTCAAATAGTTGGTATGTGCTACTTCCTTCGAAGCGATGTGAATCTCTTTAGTCTCCGATACGGTACTGCACAGAAGTGTTGTGGTACACTTGATAGAGCAGATTGAGTCTATCACAGCATTAACGTTCTTTGAGAGCAATTATCCTCTTAAAACTATTATTCTCTCATTTCTCGATTACGAATCATGTTGCTGGTATCATCTAATCTAAACGCGTCCGACCATTTTCACACATGAGGCATTGTTTTGAAGGCATGTGGTTGACACACGACGACCGTGAGTGTTGCATGCACTACGTACTGCATCAGATGTCTGTACAATCCGTGCAGTAACCAGTACTGCTTACCTCCAAGACCGGCATGTCAATTTCTCCGAATTCTCCCAATTTTGGCTTCGTTTCTGCCAACCATCCCAGTATATTAACCAAAAAGGGTCTGAAATAAGCTTCGTGGATGCAAATGATCACCTACTGCTAAAGACTCAGTTGATGGAGTGCCTCAGATCTTGATCACTGATAGCTGTCATTACAACTACGTTAGTACTTGGCACTGGACTCTGGAGGCTGTGGGTTACGAAAACAAACCCGTGCGTTAGTGTCTCCGAATTCATAATGTCTCTGAACTTTGACTGAAGAATGATGTGTTCAGGCTGGCCTTGGTTCTCGTGGTGGCCGTCGACGATTTTCATTTTTTTGGAACCGTTTCATGCATCTCCCATTGTGGCGAATGTAATTTATTTGTCACTTCATCATCGAGAGATTATTGCAGGCAGCAAAGAGAGGTGACAAGAAGTTACTGTTATTTGGAGATAAGTTAAGCATTTTTTAGCTCGTGGGTAGGAAGGTAAAAGTTGTTACGCGCCAAAGCTTGAATTACGACCAGTAAACCACAAGGCCAGAAATTTACTAAATGAATGATGAAAAGGTTTGTCCCTCACGAATTTGCAGAATGATGCTGGAAATGACCACTCTAAAGCTCATCTAGCCCAGCAGGAATCTATATATTCTAAGGGCAGAATGGAAACTCGACTACAGTTGGCTTTGCGGTGAGAAAAATGGTTTAGTGCACGTCGATTTGTTGGGTGTTTGTTGTGGGTATTTGCATTTAGAAGCGTTCGTGCGGCTTGAAGATATAATATTCCCGTGGTTGTCTTCGGCAAAGAAATTGACCTTCAGAATCGAACCGTTTACTACTGGAGATCATTTCCACTGTTGCGAGTTTGTTTTCATGTTATGGTCCTTTGGATGGTTCGTGTAAGCCACGAGTCTGAGTACGAAGAGTTTTTGGGTGTATAGGATGTCGGGTGAGGGGTTTCGTAGAACATTGCAATTGTGAGGTGGAATGAAATCATTTAGGGAGAAATAAGTGGTAAGTAAGATGTTGCCCCTTTTGATTGCCATGGCGGTGGTTGAGGCCGTGGTAGCATATTGTTTGGTTAGCAAGGTGACGCCGCTGGTCAAATTAGGGCAGAATGTTGTAGACGTGTTTAGAAGCAATAAAGGAGCGAGAGTTGTTCTCAAAACTGTGACTGGGGTCGTCGCGGTTCGCTTAGCCAACGATTTGAGTACAGTGATGAAGCTTCACAGACAGATGGAGATAAGTGGAGCTCATATTGCCGAGCAGCTCGAATCTCGGTCACAATGGCTCGAGATTACGTTAATATGTAAGCACATTATTCACCTTCTTCCTCTTTTCCTAAAATAACCAAGGGTGGTTTGATCGAAATGAATCTTCAAGGTATTAGAAATATGTTCTTTAGCTCCACTGCTAAGAATCAATTGCAGAACCTTAATGCATTGGTTTGAGGTGCAATCTCGTTGCTATGACCGCTGCTTTCAAATCATTCATAAACCTTTTTGATTCTAAATATGCTGAAATTGGCAGGTTTTGTTCTCATTCTGAAGCTTGTGGTGAGCAGCTTAGACCTTTCCTTCAAGAGAGCTGATGGTTTGAAGCGGGACGTGGATGTTCTCAAGGGCAAACTTAAAGGTTCCTACCGATCCCCTTACCCACTTATTAAAAACCAGCATGTAGTGGTTGTGATGCTGCTTATCAGAGGGTTTATCTCAAGTATAAGAATTACATCAAAAAGGATTATTTTAGGATATTCTTAAAGATGAGATTCATGACTTCAATATAGGTGCTGAAGCGGAGTATGTCCGACTTCAAGATGAGCTGAGTTCGAAGTCAGACAAGGAGTGTGAGGCACTGGCTGCAGAAGTGAAGTCGCAAAAAGGCATCATCACTACTTTGCGACAGAAGCTTGAGCAAGCCCAGGTCCATATTAATTCAAAAGAGAAAGAACTCAAGAGTGTGGTAACAAATTTGAAGACCCTTGAGAAACAGACGGAAGGCTTTCAGAACGAATACACTCGAGTTTTAGATGATAATGAGAACCTGCGTATCCAGTTGTCACAGTTTGACCGTCATCATTCCAGTTCTGGCAGCAAAAAGAATTCGTAACGAAATTCGACATTGAAAGCATCTTGATCCGGTATCTGCGAAGCACCATTTTGTTTACGATTTTGATTGTTGCAGCAAGATTTCACTGCAGGTCTTTCAAGTAATGGAATGTTGTTGATCGAGTCTTAGGTTCAATGCACAAGCAATCTCATGAAATATGTGCATCTGGCTGTGCAAACACAGTGGTCTTATCAAAAACGTAATGACGTGAAAGCTTTAAAGCTTTCTAAACGATTTGGAGTGACTTCAACTTGCAAAGTTGCTAAAATCTTGTAATGGAGGAGAATTAACTTAGTGATGGGACCACCATTAAAGCAACTTGTTGCTGAGTTTACAAAATACAGCACAGAATATGATACCACTTTATGTTCAGTGGAACTCGGTATTAGTTTGTACTCCAATACTCGTACTTTAAAACAGATTTAACTAGTATTTTAGTATTTTAGTAGATAGAGGTCAAAGTTGCTTGGAATCTCACCTTTAATAACATTCTAATCGAAAGAGTTGTGCTCACTTTTTGGACTTAAGTGAGATATTAGACTTAAGTCAGATATGAACTGATAAATGCTAATTCTAGAGTCATGGCGATGGTGCATGATGCAAATGCCACTATAAATTGTTAATTTAAAGTGAGCAGTCTATTATTATTATCTCGCTCTAAATTTACACTTTAAACTTAATTCAACCACAATGCAATCACCAAAGCCATCCATCAACTATAGAAATTACTTTAATTATCATTAAAATGCTTGGGGTTGGATTACTCTATTGAAGAATAAGCACTTTGAAGACTTAACACTTAGCATCAACAAGGTTGCACACAAAGAGAATATAGAATAAGATGTTTATCAATTCCAATACCCATTACTTATAAGTAGTGGTTGCTGCTCTAAAAGACAACTTTTACTCTTTGACTTCTACACATGTGGCCCTAGGATCCTTTTGGCATCTCACGAGCTTTGAGGGTGTTCTATGATACATACTAATGATTCATACTTAGTCTTTGGATATTTTTTTGTTAATACTTTATCTTTTTGACTTTCACTCTTGGTCCCTGACTTCGTCATATATCCATTGGATGCCCTTACCATATACCAAGAATCAAACCTTTGACCACTAGTAACTTACTTAAGTTAATATCCTCTATAAGGTAACTTATTCTACTTTTATTTTAACACTCTCACTTTGCTATTGATCAAATGGCTTTTAATCCTAATGCTTTTGTCAACATGTGGTGTCTATTTTTTACTAATGTCTTTCTCAACAAATCAGTAAGCATTTCCTTCGTCGCACAATACTTCATATCAATCACTCCCATTTTAATCTTCTCTCTTATAAAGTGATGTTGAATGTTAATGTGTTTGGTCCCTAAATGATGCTTGGATTCTTTGTAAATACAAGACATCTTTGATTGTCACACTCAATTGCAGTTGCTTCCATTTGCACATCTCCAATGTCCTCCAAAAGTTGTCTCGACCATATTACCTCCATTGCACCATGGCTTGCTGCCATGTACTCTGCCTCCATTGTTGATCTTGCAATTGTTGGTTGTCTCTTGTAATTCCATGAAATTGCTCCCACTCCAACAAAGAATACATAGCCCGTTGTTGACCTTCTATTATTTGCATCTCCAACCCAATCCGCATCACAATAACCATGCAAATTAATGTTATCACCTCCAAGGCATAATTTGAAGTTCAAAGTGCCTTTTAAGTACCTCATGATCCTTTTCATGGTTGCCCAATGGATTGGTCCAACCTTTGACATGTGTTGGCTCACAACACTCACCGCATATGCAAGATCCATCCTTGTGCCAACGATTGCATACATAAATGAGCCCACCGTTGCCTTGTATGGAACACCTTACATTTGACCTTCAACTTCAACAAATTCTTCATCCGTGAGTTTCATCAACTCCAAGTTTGCCTCCAATGGTGTTCCAATAGGCTTACACTCCTCCATGTTGAATCGTTTTAACACTTCTTCAATGTACTTGCTTTGGCTCATTATAATGGCCTTCTTAGCACGATCTCTTACAAACTCCACTCTTAAATAATAGTGAAGCTCTCCCAAATCACTCATTTCATATTTCTTTTCTAACTTTGCCTTCAACCAATCCATCATCTTCAATGTATTGGTTAAAATGATCAAATCATCAACATAGACGATGACAATCAATATTAATCTATTTGATTGCATCACATATAAGGAATGATCAACCTCACTCCTTACAAATCCTTTACTCACAAAGAATGTATCAATACATTGGTACCATGCTCTTAGTAATTGCTTTAGCTCATACAAGGATTTCTTCAACTTAAAAACAAGGTGTTGTTTGCCTTCTTCAACAAATCCTTGAGGTTGCTCTATGTAGATGTCTTCTTCCAAACTTCCATTCAAGAAAGCCGTCTTCACATTGATTTGATGCATCTCTAAGTCCAATGTTGGCCCAATTGCTACAATAGTTCTAATGGTTGTGAATTTGGCCACAAGAGCAAATGTCTCATTGAAATCCACACTAGCAACTTATGAGTAGCCTTTAGCAACCAATCTAGACTTTTATCTCACAATATTATCCATTGCATCTCTTTTGGTTGTAAACATCCACTTACAACCAATTGAAGATTGATTTGGTGGAAGTTGAGTCAATTCCCATATTCCATTGTCCTTGAGTGATTTGTACTCTTCTTCCATAGCATTCTCCCACTCCAACGCATTCGTGGATTTCATTGCATTATATAAATTCAATGGATGAGCAAAAAGTGCAACATTGACATGTTCTTTACTTACTTGAGGAAAGATGTGGTCCTTCCACCATTCACAACATGGTTTTCTTTCTCTCAAAGGATATCTCCTTTCATTTGAAGAAGACCCTTCTTCTTGCATTCCATCCTTCTTCTTTCTCAATACTTGTCTTTTCTTACTCAAAGGTTGATATTCTTCATCATCATCATCACCTTCAATATCTTCATTGTCTTCATTGTTGGTTCTAGTAATTGAAGGTACACTATGATTTACCTTCTTTGGCACTTGAACTTGATTTCTATTTCATCCATCCTCATTTTTATCATCTTCTTCTTCTTTCTTTCTTTCTTTGTTGAACTTGAAGATGTGTCCACAAACACACCTTCACTCCCACATCGACACTCTTCCAAGTATTCAAAAGCATTCTTATGCTCCAAAAATTCTACATCACAACTTTTGATGATCTTCTTGGTTTCTAAACACATTAGCTTATATGCTTTGGTACCTTCACAATATCCAACAAATACATATTTTGTATCTTTTGCATCAAGTTTGGACCTCATACAATCTGGTACCTTTGCATAAGCAATGCATCCAAAAATCCTCATGTGTGAAACTCAAGGTTTCTTCCCACTCTAAGCTTCTTGTGGAGTCATTGATGTAAGTGCACTTGTAGGGCACCTATTCCTTGTATACACCATATTTACCACAACTTCTACCCAATACTCATCTCTAAGGTTTTGTGTATGAAGCATATTCCTTATCATCTCCACAATTGTCTGATTTCTTCTTTCAACAACTCCATTTTATTGTGGAGTATAAGGAATAGAGGTTTGTCTTGCAATACCTTGAATCTTTATGAATTCATCAAAATGCTTTGACATGTATTTACCTCCATTGTCCATTTTCAATACTTTGATCTTGTACTCACATTGTTTCTCTACAAGAGCCTTAAATTCCTTAAATCTCAAGAAACATTCACTTTTAGCTTTAATGATGTAAATCCACACTTTTCTTCAAAAGTCATCTATGAATGTGATAAAGTACCTTGCTCCTCCAATTGATAGTATCTTCATTGGTCCACAAACATCAGAGTGCACAATCTCCAACAATTTTGATGCACGTGTTGCAACTCCACTTGAAAATAAAGCCCTTTATTGTTTGCCTTGTATACATCTTTCACAAGCAAGTGTCATGGCATTGTGGCTAAATTAACCAAGATCCAAGCCACTTACCATGGATTGGAGCTCCTTCATGCATTTGGCATTCAAATGACCAAGTTGTTGATGCAAAATTCTATATTTGTCTTGATCTTGTGGAAAATCAGCAAATGTGACCACTTCAATTCTATTCACCTTCTTGCAATTGATGAAGTAGAAATTTCCATCTCTAAGGCCTTTGGCAACATGTTGGCCATCCAATGTCTTAACAAAACATCCATTCATATTAAATTGAACCTTGTAACCATGTGATATAAGTTTGCTCACCGAAAAGAGATTCTTCTTTATTTTTGGAACATATAAAACTTCCTTCAATGTGATCCTCTTGATTTGGTCCTTCACAAAAATCTCCACCACAATGGAGCCAATTCCAATGGCTTGCACCATGCCATTATCTCTCAACCACACTTTTATTGTTGGAATTTCTTCATAAGTGTTAAATGAATACTTGTATGGTGTCATGTGCTTAGTAGCACCTGAATCTATAATCCACTTCGAAATAGCAGCCATGGAGGCTCCTTCCCTTGTTATGAAAGCATACTCATCTCCACCAAAACTATCACTAGCATTGTTTACATTCTCTCTATCTCCTTTCTTGGCCTTGTAGCAATTTCTAGCAAAATGACCTAGTTTTCCACAAATATAGCAATTTTTCATATTGCTTTTTGAATTATCATGTTGGTGAGAATAGCTACCTTTGCCTTCTCTTGAAAATGAAACCGAATCATCACTTCCATGCTTCTTTTCTTTCCTCTTGGTCACTTCATAGGCAAGTCTTGATGAGATATAGTTCATGGTAAGTTTTTTCATGTTGATGGACTCCAATGCCATAATGAAATAGTTATAGGATTCGGAAAGGCTCATGAGCAATGTCAACACAATATCCTTATCATCAATTGGTTTGTCAACAATTGTTAGTTGGTTATCAAGTGCTTTTACCTTGTTAACATGAGCTATGAGGTCATGTCCTTCTTCCATCTTTACTGTCAAGAACTTCTTCCTTGTCCAAAGGATGTTGGCAAGGTTTCTACTCTCATAGATGTTACAAAGAATCTTCCATGCTTTCGCTGGTCCATTACAAGCTATAGTATGTGAAAAGTTGGCATCATCAAGGTTTGTTGCAATCATCCCAAAAGCCTTCTTTTCACGATGTTTGTATTCCTTCTTCACCTTGATATCAGCATTTTCACTTGGAGGGTCTTGACTTTCATCAACAATGTTCCAAAGGTCCAATGAAGCCAACAAAAGTTCTATTTTCTTCTTCCAATGGTAAAAGTTGTCACCTCTAATCTTTTCAATTACTTTCAAGCTCTCACCTTCACTTGAAGCCATGTCTAGGGAAGGGATGTGTGAAAAAAAATCAAGAAAAGAGAAAATAGAACTGTCAAAATCAACAGGAAGGTGTTGTTGCCTTAGAAACCCAGAATGCCCTCTTTATAATTATATAAGTGATTTCACTCTTGTATCACTCTCAACTTCACATATAAGACTTCTCACAAGTCTTATACTCTATCTAAACTTCTTGTATAAGCTTTGCCACTCTTCAATCACCCCTCTAATCA